CCAGTACTCAGGAAAAAAACACATATATGCATCGTCACCAAGCTCCAAGCTGTTTGCACACGGCCCGAGGTCCCACGGTTTTAGACCTCGAATCCAGTGGTCGCCGAGATCGAGTCTCCAAGGAAAGAAGATGCAACACCCTCTCTCCTGGGCCTTTGTGAAGGTGAGCGGCCTTTTCAGTCCCGACCGTCGCGCGCCGTTTTCGCGGTGCGCAAGCCGCGAGCGGTATCGCAGCAGCGGCTTCCTGGACGGGGAGGCTGCCGAGGGCGCGGTGCTTCCGGAGTGGAGCTCAACTCCCAAAAGAACCACCGACGGGTTGTCCGGCGACCGGTCAATTGGGAAGAAGCATATCCTTTCTTGCTAAAACCTGGCGAAGCAGACGAATCGATGGCGAACACCTGGCACAAATGGCCACTCAACACCACCCTCCGACCCTATTTGACCCTTTGGGTGTCCTGGCTGGACTAGGACCAACCCAGGTCGCTCCTGGCACCCCGCCCGCGTTGAGCGCTCGCGCTCCCAGGCCTGGGCGTCTGGCATGTTCCAGGATTTGACCGATAGGCCGGTCCGAGCGGCGGAAGACGACGAGCTGAGAACGCCACACTCGAAGTCGAAGTTCACATAGAAGTGGAGTGGAGTTCGAGTGAGGGACTGAGTTCACCCCCTGTTCGCCTTCGGAAAGTCATCTTCCTTTAGGACCATGCCATTCATGCCGTCAGTTGAGTGAGTCAGTAATTCTACGGTATCCCCATATATGCATCTGTATGCTTGTATACCCCTCAGTTTCCGGCTGAACATTGACATTTGGGGTCAGAGTGCTCTACCGTCGGACCTAAGAATAGACGAAGTCCAATCTTTACCGATCATTTCCTCCTTTAACATTGACCAAACCAAACCCAAACACTCCAGACTGCCATATTTACCTACAGCGGGGTGGTTTGAGGGGTCAATGTAAGCATATACGACAGACATGGAGTGTCTGGGAAACATACTTTGTTGCAAAAACAAAGAACCAGGATTCATTTTTTTGGGGTGTCCTGGCTGGAGGTCCAGACGTACGTAGTGCAGGGTAGTCCTATTTTTCCGTAAGCCAGGTGACCCAGTGGCCGGATGATCGGATGATCCTGGACAGCATCCAACAAAGGATGCTCAAGACATTTCTCTGTCACCATGCCGGCCATGCCAGGGTGAACGCAGACCTCAAGCCAGTGGCCTGGCAGCAGACCCCGAGATCGAACGGCCTGGGGCCTTTGGGAGTTGGTCCTCCAAAGCGAATCATGCATGGTTACGTGGGGGGAGTGAGTGAAACCACCTGAGACGGTTCTTCGAAAAGCTCTCCATCTGGTCATCCGAAAAGCTCTCGGACCATCCACGGTGCTGATGACTTCTCCGAGAGAAGTGACCGTGACACGGACGTGACAGTGACGTGACGTCGAACGGTCGACCAGGTCAGTCAATGCGAGGCGGTGAGCACTCGTGATGAATCCTCCGGCCTCGAATTGGGTGCGGAAGCTCGGGCTGGATCTGGCTGGATGCAGGTGCTGAGAGGTGCTGAGAGGACCGTTCCTCCAGAGAGTGGAGTGGGGCGGCAGAGGTGACCCAAACGAATGTCCGAGTGGGAGCAGATGTTTTGCAACGTCCCTAATATAGACGGCATGGTTTTTGTTTGTTTCTTTGGATGGCGAGCTCCTTTCATCCCGAGCGGACGATGCCTCCACGGCAAACATATATGGTGCCGTTGGAAGATCCATGACATATCGTCTATACCTTTGAGCGGGCGGTCGGTGCATCCCGCGCGGACGATGGGAGCAGAAAACCGCGCGGGGTGCGTTGGCGACGGCGCTGAGTCGCTGGTTCTTCCGCTGCATCCGAAGAAATAGCGCGGGACCCGCCTCCAGGTGACATCTCAGGCGCCATCTTCATCGGCTTGTTCATTGCAGCACCTGGCCTGGTCTATGCTTTTTCAGTGTCACGTGGGATGGGAACGGCTGATAATTATTATGGGTGAGGTCTGGTATCTCATGGTATCTCATAGACCAAGAAACGCAGATCCCCTGAGGCAGGTTGTACTTGTTCTGCATGCTTTCCTTCTTGTTTCTCTCGCCCTTTTGCAAGGTCGTTCTGACTGCGTGCTTTTTTTGATCTTTTTGGTATACTTTGCTCTCAATGAATCAGCTGGACTTGGGATCAGGCTTGGATCCTTTACAATGGGAACAATGGAGGTCACCACTTCGTCGTTCTTCGTTCCTCCCCAGTGGTGAAGCGCAAGCTTCGGTGTTGGATTCGGACACCAAGCGGGGAAACCCCGGATTCGGCCACTAGCAAGAAGCTAGTACCAGCAGTCACTAGCAGGGGTGCTACCCATGGAGGTTCGGAGTGCCCATTATCCACTCACTTAGGGACCAAACACCACCCCTTTGTGACGCGGAGTTCGGTGTGCCCATGATCCAGTCATATATAAAGATACACTACACAGGCTGCTACATTGTGCAGTATAACTCTAAGACAGGCTACATAGTACAGTATAACTCTAAGAACCATTCCTGAAAGGAACTGCTGGTCTTCGAAGACATCGGACCCAACATGTAGACCACTGATCTGATTGAATTCCCATGTCCAACCCGGAACCAGGTCCACGCCGTGGTCCGATCGGTCCACGCCGGATGGCGAAAACGCCCAGGTGGTGGGTGGCTGCTGCTACTTGGGAGAGTTGATCTACCAGAAGGCTGCTGCGTGTAGCCCTTGGGGAGAGAGAAGGGATTGCACTTTTGACGAACACACAGTGAACACACAAGTAAGTTGAGTATAGTGGAGTGAGAACCCTTTGTTTGGTGAGGAAAAGTCGTCTTCCTTTCGGGGCCACGCATCCACGTCACAGAACCGGAGAAAAAGTGAAGAAAGCAGGAAAAGCGATGACATTTGGGCCACCATGGGGAATGCAGGGAGTTGTCAGTCATCAGAGTGGTTTTTACATGTTTTTAGCTTCTTAGTGGCTTCTTGTTACTAGTAGCGATGCCCTTTGTTACTAGTAGCGTCCTTGTTACTGGCCAGGAGCCCCTAGTAGCGTCCGATCGCTCCGTTCGTAGCGATGCCCTTTGCTCCTATAGTATGTCTTTTCTCTTCGGACCTGAGTGATGCACCTAAGAACAAAGGTCCCCATTCGCTTCAACACTATATTACCCAGCCCCCCCCAAGAACGGGAGAAAGGAGGAAACCTCTTTGCCGGAGAAGCCGGCATCCACCGATCCACCCTTCCAACTGTGCAGTTGTGCCTTTTCATCCATCAACACCAGCCAGAAGGCCGACATTTGACAGGTGGAAGATCTAGGTCTGTGACATACATGGAGTGTCTGGGGTCATGCACTGCTTTTCGTCCTTTTCGTCCGGCACGGCGGTGCCACACACCGCCGTGCCATGGGGCACCGCCAGGTGCGTCCCCCACCGGAGGAGCCTCCATCGGTGGATGGTCCGGTGGAGGGTTCATTGAAGCCGGTAGTGGAGGAGGAGGAGCCGGTGACGGTGGTCGACGTGGATCGTCAAATGCAAAATGATGATGTCGATGAACCGATGAGCTCTCGTGTTTGAGAGGCGAAGGATGACGATCAGGTGGAATTCTTCTGGTTTGGGAAGGTGGTTCGATGTTGTTAGTGAGCTCTGAAAGGACTAGACGTGGTGGTGGGTTGACTCAAAGTTGGTTGAACATGATTGAAACCAGAGGAACGTTGCGCCTACTTGCACCTGTTTTTGCCAGATAATTGGTGACTGGCTGACCACTTGCCAGTTTTTAAGAGAGCAGGCAGCAGGACCATGTAGTCCGACCTCCGCTGCAGACTCCGCAGCTGGAGGATAAGCTCTCACTCTGCGGCATGGCATGCCTAGTGATATGGAGGACCTCAGGAGTCCTCAGATCTTCAGGTGCTGGTTCCCCACAAGATCGGTCGAACGTTTCATGAAGAAGGCACACTGCTTAGCTGCTTATAAGAAGATGGAAGCGACCACATTAGCTGCTGTAGCAACGCAACGACTTGTGCCATGTATTTTGCCCGCCATGGCCGCATGATCCGTTTGGCTCTGGTTTTTGCTCGTTTTTCTCACCCAGGAGTACCAAACAGACGGGAGTTCAAATGAATCTCCCGTGCTATAGGTGTTCCGGAGTTTCTCAGTGGTTTCCAGGAGAAACACATCGGAGTTCGTTGCAGGTTCTTCTATCACCTTTGCTATCAGTTTGTCAACCTACTAGCGATGGAGCGGTGGCCTCCAACCTACTAGCGATGGCCTCCAACTGTTTATTCAATTTAGATGACCTTCGAAGTACAGTGTTCAGCAAATAGTAATCACTCCATGCAGCACTCAGAGAAAAAAGCACACTTCCTACTTCCTACTTAGACACACTTCCCCATGATTTGGCAGGTCCTTGATCCCTTGCCCGAAAGCCTGGGCTTTGGGTCCACGGTGCATCGGATGCACGGTGTCAGCGGTGCTTCGAATGGAGCCACCGAACACCGGCAGCGGCCGCGTCCGCGTCTGCGTCCGCTCCGTGGAGCAAAGCAGGAACTGGGCGGCACGAACGAACGGAAACGTGTTTTGTTCTGCAGCTAAAGACGCTGGAGGAAGGCCTGAGGAAAGCTGAGGATGCGAGTCTGGCAGGAGTCTGGCAGCCGCCCATTGGATGGACATGAGTAGTTCCGGAACTCAAACGAATGATCCAAGTTGATTGGTTCCCATCAAGAGCCGCAACGATCCAAGGCATTGACCATGAATGAACGTGTCAGACGGCCCGGCCCAATAAGGACTTTCTGAGGTTCTTTGCCAATATACATAGACGATTCCATGAGCAACCAGGTTTGGAACTATAGAACGGTATAAGTGACGTCTAGGAGAATCCAGGATTGCTCTGCCCCATCGACCCGATCTCTTTTCTGCTCCAGTCCATCGACCCGCCCCTTGGGGACCGTTCCGCTCCGAGCCGCCGAACCGGCCGCCGAACGCGATGTGTTCAGGCGGGGCTCTTCGCGTGCACCAGCGAGATCTTCGAGAGGTTGGACGACGAGGGTCAACCCGCCCTGGGGGCCCGACTGGAAGCATCGGGACGGGACGGAGCCGGAAGTGGACTCGAATTCTTTCAGAGGTTGAGAGACCTGGGGTTTTTGTTCGCCTGGGATGCATGCTTATTCAACAGCATCGCTCGGATGCAAGGATGCAAATGCATTACTCTCTTAATTGCCCTTGCCCTCTTGTATATAGTTGCAGGGTGTTCATTAAAAGAAGAGCATACCAATTCATGGAACCCACCAGGTCCGCATCCGGTCCGCACCCCGGGGTTCCGTTCCACCAACGTGCCCAGGTTGAAGGCCTTGGCAAAAGCCCAGGTGCGCTTCGATGAAACCGTTGGGTGGAGCGGATGAAACTGGTTCATGGACACCTTAACTCTTATAGATTGCATTTACCGGAGAGCAGGTCAAAACTGACGCCGCCTTTGCATGACGTGTCATTTGCGAAAGATAGCTTATGATTAAGACATATTAACACTAAATTTGTAATTCCTTAGAAGTCGAAAGGACATGATTTGAAACCAGGATGGGACTTAAACAAACAACCAGTTGGAAACGGCTGGCATGTATGGATTTCTTCGACTAGTCTGGGTGATCAAGAGTTCGGCACGTCGCCACAGGAGTATTTCACCATTACCGATGCCATCCAGGCGCTGAAGAAATGATGGCTTTTCATGTCACCAGTGGTGGCTTTTCGATCCTTTTGTTGGATGGGGTAGGGGGTTTCTCTTGGGTGCTTTGGCTTTATAAGACCTTTATATAGATCGTATATAAACTATTCAAACAACACCTAGAGTCTGAGTCTAGTTTGGATCACCAACCACCCCAAAAGATGGTCCAAACCTTCCTATCAAAACAGGCCTCATTGACCCATGGGCTGCTTCTTCTCCAGCAGAAACCCACGTATACCCACGTCGTTCGGGGCGAAGCGGACCGGACGTGCACGGACCCGAGGAAGGGCGAAAATAGGATTAAGCCAAGGAGCTGGGAAGCCAGGCAGTGAAGAAGGCAACCTGTTCGCAGAAACCGGTCGGGGGCGTTTTTGGTGCTTGGATCTCCGAAAGGAATCTGTGACTTGGGTGTGCCAGGTACTGATCGCTGGAGTCGTATAGGACATTCCCCAGCAATTTCCAAACCCAAAACGATCCCACTTGTTGTTCTTCGTGGATGCAAGATGTTGAGAGCACACGGGTGGACCAACAGCTTACGGCTTTACCATGCTTTCCCCTCCTGCGTTAAATGGAAGAAGCGGTTCACTCGTGATCGACGGAGAAGCCGCTGCCAGGAGCTGGCCCATGCAGGGCACGTCTCCTCCTTGGCAACCAAGGGGAGGTGCGCGGCGCGGCCGCAAACGTGGGACTGTCGCGAAGTCGTGGGAATTGCGCTGGGTCAAAGGAACGCAGTGAACACCTGTGACAGGAGGAAGCTGACTCAGTTGGCTGGAAACCCGTGCCAGGGGGATGGGTTTCCAGCCCTTGCGGACCTGTTCCACAAGGAAATTGAATGTTCAACCTACCCAGGAAGTATGTGGATCTCCTGCCCCTCTCTGACCTGCGGACGTCCCACACGGCCAGACTGCGCTCTGCACTGTGCACGGTAGAGATGAGATCCGAACTGCTCACGTATCACAAGTTCAGTCACACCTCTATAGGACCCTTTTTTTACGTTTCGTGATCCGTTGTGCACCTGCCGATGCCTCCATGTCGGTGCCGATGCCTCCATCGCAGCCCCCCACGTCCGCCGGTGCGTCTCACCGCGGACGTCGCCAGGAACTGGTTGGCCATCGAGACGACCAGCGAGCTGGAGGATGCGACGAGCGGTCCGCGATCCGCGATCCGAAGACGTGGAAGACGAGCGAGGCTGGCTGTAAACCCAATGCGCAGGTGGCGGAAGAAGCGCCGGCCGCGGTGATGACGAAGGGTGACGTTCAGAAGTGAAATGACGACATGATGAAATGTGGAAATGATGACTAGCTTTTAAAGATGGAACATGTCTTGCATGAGAATGATTGATAAGCAGAGGCGGCAGGATCTGGCGCGCGGAGCGCATACATAGCACTCAGTCCATCAGCAAGAATCAAACAAAACACTCATGCCAGCCATCCAAAGAAATAGAAATACATTTAACACATACATAAAATACTATTACTGTAAATTCATGTTGATTCCGTTTTGTAACTTTTGAGCCATTACATGGATCAACATGTGTCAACCATTCTCCCAGCTGCTTGGCTTCTTTGCTTGGGCACTCGGAAACCCAAACCTTTTGAACCAAGACATTCCTCTGCATCTTCCCGGTAGATGTGTGCTTGATTGTTTGTTGCCCAGAGCTGTCTTCGAGCTGTCAATCATCAAGCTAGCTGGCTGTTGTCCCATTCTTGGGTGGAGGATCCCAACCAAAAGTACTCGTAGCCGGCCAAACCCACGTTGGACAAGAATCACGAATTCATCACACTTCCCAATCTTTTCAACTAGTTTTGGGTAGAAAACGAGATAAAGAACCTCTTGTTTGCCGGGAAAAAAAAGAAACAAACAACCGGAAGCGTTTTCCCAAGACAACGGCCGATCGTTTTCCCATCTTCTTCTCCGTCCGCTCACCGGGACTGGCGACCCTCCAGGAGACCCGCTCGCGCTCGGTGATGAAGAGGGTGACTTCACCGTGGCTCGGAGGATCCACGACGGGCGGTTCCGTGACGCGTGGCTGGGCGGACGTGAGCGGCGCGTTTGAGGGCGGAATGGGTGAGCGGCGCGGGATGGGCGTGACGGGTGACGGTGGACGAGGTCGGGACTTTTGGGACGAGGCCGGGCGGTTGGACCAGTTTTTTGGGGGGTGCTTGAAGCCACACAAGAGAGCCCATGGATAATCTGATCATATATTTATCGATGGGCCAAAGGGCTGTTTGGATGCCACCAGCCAAAGTTGCTTCAAATTGGTGTGTAACTATTATACCCTAGGGATCCAAGTACGTCCTCAGAAGGTACTTGGACCCTCCAAACCTACATAAACAGTCTCCAATCACCGTACCTGAGAAGGTACGACTGGATCCCTAGGGATAGTGGCAGCATGGTGGAACCGGCTCACTCCGGTTTCGTGGCGGCACCCACGAACGGACAGACCCGACACCCGCCCACCGCACCGTCATCCGTCATCCGTCGCGGCACTGCAGAACTGCTCACGGTTGGGCGAGTGTGCTCATCCCGTCAATGGGGTGGCGCTCCGAAACGGTTCGGTGGTTGGGCAGTTGGGCCAGGGGCAAGGACGACCTGACGGAGGTTTGTTCATCGAGCTTCGGTGAAGACTTAGCTTTTCGGCGCTCCCGAAATGGCACCCAGGGCTCCTTTTGCCGGAGGGTCCAAGGATGGATGAAGAATTCAAATCCCACTAGGTCGAGTTTCGCCTCATGAAATGCAGTTGATGATGATCATCAACAAAAACACATCCATTTCACCAGGGTTTGGACCGAAAGCTCCGATTGAAGGGCACCCAAGACACCTTGCGCCAGGTGCATGTGGTCTCTCAGAGTAGCCCCCCTGCCATTCCGCATTTGGATGCCTCAGCAACACATGGGCGGAAGTGAATGCCAAGGGCGGAGACGGGCGGAGATGAGCCGATGCCTCCTCAAGTCTACCGAAAGAGACGTGGAAGGAGTTTTCACCCAGGATGTCTATGAATCGACCTGGAGTCGACCCGGAACTCGTACTTCAGAAAATGGGTACGACATCGTACCTGCGTTTGAGTTCGGGTCATGTCCCATTTTCTAAGGTGCTTGAAGTCGGGTCCAGGTACACCTCTTCGAAGCCAATCACTTTCACTTTGAGGCTACAAACCGCTTGAAGTGTACCTGGACCCTCTCCTTCGTTCGTACCTTAGAAAATGGGACATGACCCGAACTACAACAGCTACGACGTCCGACGTCGTACCCATTTTCGTACCGAGTTCCGGGTCGACTCCGTCGACTGACTCCCGGTGACGCACCTCCTCCAGCGGTCCCCAGGTATTCGGAGCTGAAGGAACCGCTGCCAGCGATCTTCGTGGTGCGCGGCCCTTTCCGTTTCGCGGGCGGCCGTTTCGGATGAGGGTTCTGAGGGTTCTTGGGAAGGTCTTCTTCCTCCCAAACATACCACGTACAGTGATCACGTCCAACCTCGAAACACATCCACCCCCCCCCAACAAAACATGTGAAACATGATCCGCCTCCACTTCGTCCTCCACTTCGGAACAAATGAAAAACACACGACGTCACACTCGCGTATGTCTACCATCCCCCATGGGAGTCAAAGACTAAGAATGGTCTTTAGTGGCCCTGAAAGGGAACTTCCTTTACTTCAGCCAGTCAACATATTTTTGGACTTCTAGGGCTTTTAATATATTACATCCCTTCATATATAGAACAAATATAGAAAACAACTCAATAAGTAACACACGGACACCGGAGATGTCTACCATCCCCCCATCCATGCAGTACCAACCGCTCCTGTCCACTTCAACACCTCCAGGCCGGTGGGCCAATGTGCATGTGAAGGCGCACCGCATCGTGTGCCTTCGCTCCACTCGGTGGCTTCGGGACCCCGAACGAAGGCCGAAAGCGAACGAAGGCCGACGGAGCACCACCCTGGAGTAAAGGAAAGTCCGGTCACTTGCGGTTCATCCATTTGGCCCATTTTTTAAACAGTCTTTGACTTTCAGGGGTACTGGGGTGGGTGGGTTGCTGAGGTCGGTCTGGCAATTCGTGCCACACTCCGTGACCGGGTGCGTTCGTCGAGACAGGTTCAGACATGGCCACCGAGGCGATGAACAGAGAGGATTGAGACATGGTCAAGTTACCAGCGTATTGGGTTTGGACCAATTAATACTGCTGCCACGGCACATATATCACTTGAAACAAGATCCAGGTGCTTGTTGGAGGTTCCCGACCACAGGCGGTGGTGAACCTGGGCTCCGAAATAGTCACCAGGAAACACCTCTTCACACAATAGGGTGTATGACTTTGAATGTGTGTTTTTTGTTCCTTCTGAACATGCAAGGCCAGTGTGTTGAAATCATGTAGCATTTTGGGGGTGACAGAGTTTTGATATAGCTACCAGCACCCAAAACTGAAAACGTATCAGAAGATCCTGTACCCATCATTCAGCGGCACACCAGTATTCAGTATTCTTCATTGATGGCAGGATTAACCTTAGTTTTTATGATGAGACCCAAGAGGGAAGTGTTGGACTCAAAACTTTCCTCTTGAGCTTCATCCTCAGATCGAAGCCTTCAGTCTACGATTTCGTGCAGGGGCGCATCCGGCGCACGTCATACGACGGAGCCACCAATAGAAAAGGCCACAACAAGAACCGACTGAGCCACGAAACCGGCTGAGGCAGCGCTCCAAACTGGTGGTTTTTCCGTGTTTTTTGGCGCTCCAAACCGGCTACACGCCGCTGATGGACGTCTGATGGACGTCTGATGGACTCTTCGACGCCTCGAGCGGGCCAGGTAGTCCTGGGACGGTCGGCGAAGGGATGAAAGTCGTGCCAGACCAGGTGTGTCCAAGAAGACCCCATTCGGACAGGTCTTCTCTAGAACTGGCTCAACTGAGGATTGTGGGAAGATGAACCAAGGGTACGTTTTAACAGGGGATCTGGTAATATCTTTGGGTTGTGCGAAGGAAGGTGCGGACCCTCAACATCCCGGTAGACTACCAGTCAGTGTCCAAGAACATCTCATAATTTTTTGCAGATGCTGTTGGCAAGAGTCAGGTATTGTGCCCGACCCCAAGGTCAGGCCAAACAGAAAAAAACACAAGTCTTTTTGCTGTAAATCAGATACAGCATTTGGGTGTGCTCACGTGACGGGCGCATTTCTGGATCTTTCGGGGTTTCTCTCCTGCGGATGTTCGTTGAAAGTTCTGCGACCTCTGTCCTGAGATCTCCTGGGACCCTGGCCATGCAACGGACGGGCGGCGAGTTTGGCCTGAACAGGATGAGGAACGCAGATGAGGAACGCGCATGGAACGAGCGGATCGATGAAACACAAACGTGAAAAAAGAATCATGCGTTCAGCTCTTTTGGGGGTTAAATTTATATAACTATTACTGTTACTCGATGTACTCTAAAATGGCACATCTTAAGACTATGAAGATATATTTTTTCCCCACCTGCCAGGTGAGGGTTGTTAGATTTTATCACAGTTGTTCTTCCTCCTCCTCCTCCGCCTCCTCCTCCTCCTTCCTTCCTCCTTCCTCCTTGCTTCCTTCCTCGCCAATCTTCATCGCCAATCTGCTTTGCCGATCTTGTCTGGCCAGCTCCGGATCGCAGTGTGCACCCCTGGACCTCAACCGCAAGGATCCCCTCGCAGTGTGCACCCCTGGACCTCAACCGCAAGGATCCGATCGCAGT